GGTCCACGGTCTTGTCTCTTGGCTTCCATCCTCTCCTTCTCACTGCGTTCCACCTTGTCGAGTTGGTTGATGTACCGACTCAACGTAGGGTACTCATGACACTCGATCATTCTCCTGAGAGAAGCACGTAACCCAGCAATAAATTTCTGGATCTTGTACTCCTCAGTCGGCACTAGATGGCCTCCATACTTCAGTAGTCGGTTGAATTCCGCTTCGTACTCTCGAACAGTCATGTTTCCCTGTTCGAGACGAAGGAATTCCGTAATGCGGTGGCTCTGATCTTGCCTCCGGTAGTACTTCTGCTCGAACTCTGCCCGGAACTCTTCCCACGAGAACTGGTGTCCTGCGGGAGCTTCACGTACAACCTCCTCCCACCAATGGCGAGCTGCGCCAGCCAGATGATGGCTCGCCGGAGCCTTCCCCTTGTCGCGGGGTTGATTCGTCTGTCCAACTCTCACCGGAGGACGGTTGATTGGCACTCTCCTGTAGGGTCCACGGTCTTGTCTCTTGGCTTCCATCCTCTCCTTCTCACTGCGTTCCACCTTGTCGAGTTGGTTGATGTACCGACTCAACGTAGGGTACTCATGACACTCGATCATTCTCCTGAGAGAAGCACGTAACCCAGCAATGAATTTCTGGATCTTGTACTCCTCGGTCGGCACTAGGTGGCCTCCATACTTCAGCAGTCGGTTGAATTCCGCTTCGTACTCTCGAACGGTCATGTTCTGTACTGTAAGAGTCTGTCCTGCAGGTGTACACACCATAAAAGGTGTAGTCGTATCGATCTCCATGATTGATAACTCTCCTGCCTTTTTCTCACTCAAGAAGCTATGTGTAGCTCCTGTGTCAAACAAAGTGAAGCATGCAACATCGTGTATGCAAATGATACCTGTGATAGCGGCAACATCGTCCTCCTCCAGATAGTCTTCATCAGTGGCCTCGTAGGTGGCCAATGGCTCTGCAGCAAATGGCTCCTCCACTGTGTATGGCTCCTCCTGGGCATCTTGCTCAGCTGTGAGAGCATAAACTCTCGGAGCAACACCGGATCTCTTCTGCGCTGGGCGTGGAGGCTTGTTGTTGGTTTGAGGATCTAGGTTCGCCATGCATCTAGCAGCAAAGTGCCCTGGTTGACCGCAGCGGTAGCATGACATGGTGTTTCCACAGGGTCCAGTATGGTCTCGACCACACTTAGCACATGGCCTCCTATACTGTATTGGCTGAGCTGGGGTCGTGGGGCGAAACGCCGGAGCCTTCCCCTTATCGCGGGGTTGACTCGTCTGTCCAATTCTCACCGGAGGACGGTTGATTGGCACTCTCCTGTAGGGACCACGGTCTTGTCTCTTGGCTTCCATCCTCTCCTTCTCACTGCGAATAATAATAATAATAATAATAATAATAATAATAATAATAATAATAATAATAATAATAATAATAATAATAATAATAAATCGGTCTGAATACACCGACCTTAATAATTTGGATCAAAGCTAATTAAAATAAAATGCATTCGAACACAGTCTAGATCAGATCGGTTGTAGCTCAGATCAAACCAAATCTAAAAGTAAGTGCGAAACTACGGGACAACCCGAACTGGTAATTTGGCAGACCGAAATCTAATTTGAACAAATTAAATTTAAAAAAAAAAAACAAAAAGAGTTTGGGACGACCGCCCGAAGCCAAAAATTTTAATACTCAATTTGACTTCTACAGACCCAGAGGAGCTCTAGAAAGTTCCCTACTCATCATCCAATTCGCTACCCACTACTCGCAGCCCGCAAGCATAACCCGAGGTGAGTGAACTCGAGTTTAATTCGGAAGTCTATTGACATGGGGTTTGGGTTTGGAGTGTCCTATGATTAAATGACGTATGATTCATGCTTTGAGTGAAATAAGAATTTTTGGTGAATTACCCGTAGCAAATCATGTGTGTTTGTGCGAATTTGGTAGAAAAGATAAAATGTAAAATATACCGAAAATATGGGTCAGACCAGACCCCACGTAGTCTGGACCCAAAATAAAAACAAGGTAAGGGTAAAAACCACGGAACGAACTGAACTGGTTTTTCCGGGCGGACCGGGACCAGGTAAGTCGTACCGGAGGTACAA